GTTGCCTAAAAAAATAATCAAATAAATTATGTGAATTTTTGGAGGCAAACCATCTTATGCTACAGTGTTTCAGTGGGTACCCTCATTACATCATAAGCCCACAGAAGTCAAAGCAACGTGCACCCAGTGGTTGAACCGGAGGACAACAAGCATGTACGATCTCCACGGGGAACATTCAGGCTACGTGGGGTGTGTGAGGTGATGATGACCTTTAAGAAAGTGAAACTAAAGGCCAAATAAATGTATTGACCTCTGGTCTCAGTGTTTTTTCTCACTAATATAAAGGCTATAACCGGTATTTATACATTCATCTAATTACAGCCTGTCATGTCTATGTAAGTTATCATATCCCAAGTGTGTGTTAATAGTAAATTATAGGTTAGTTGGTTGATTAGAGTGACAGGTGTGGTAACAGATGAGGTGACAGGTGGTCTGGTATCACACAGGAGAACGTTTAGTTTGTTCAGTATGGACGGCAGTTGTTTTCACTAATGATCTTACTTGTGTGTGTGTAAAAAACAGCAACACAGTTACATATGCTGATGTTAAAGAAGTTATAACCATTTAGCTCTTCATAAACAATGTGGAGTGGTATGATGAGATTACACAGCAAACCACATGTGCCATAACCCTTTCCTTCAATGTTTTCTTGCTGTTACCAAGTTATATTACTTCTGATAATGCACTGTAAACATTTGTTTTTCACAATTGTGGATGTCCAAAGTAACCAAGGGGTGCTACTGTAAAGCCTTACACATATGCAGAGAATCAATATTCAGTCTATTTAGATTTCAAGTTTGGTACACTGTAGTAATGATATGTCCTTGCAAAATCCTTCCTTATGTTGCTCCTCTTGCACATCATCTTTACTAGCACACTGATGACTGACTGGATACTACAAATGTTATTAACTGCCTTGCTAATGGACACTTTGATATCAGTTGTTGACAGAAGGGAGAATTTTTTGTGTTTGCTATCTTGTTCACATTAACAATATTAATTACTCTGTCCTACACTAAAGTTACCTCACTGAAATATTGCAATTTAAAATAATTTGGTTGAATGTCCATTGACCAACATGCATAAATGCAGTATATTTAATTTATTCAACACATCACAACATGTAAAAGGTGATGAATTACAATTTCTACATTCTACAGTATCAAACTATGCAGTAAAGTTTATCTGATGTCACACTTTCTTTTGAAGAAGACTTTTGAATTACAGATTATAGAGTTCTTGATGGTATTTTTCCCATCAAATGTTTTTTTGAGTTTTGCTCTGGCCGGAAGATAATAATATAGCATTTTGGAAAAAAAATGCAGACCAGCAAACCAAAACTGGAGGCCAGAATAGCAAATATCTCCAC